AACTATTCTGCACTGACAGAATATCTTACATTTCACTTCATTCCACCACGTCATTGTTCATCTCAATCAGCCTGCCACATATGGAAATGTTGACTACACCTGATCTATGCCCTGTTGCTTCCTGGGCATGGCTAGAGAAAAAACAGATCCACGTCATATGAAGTTTTGTATATGGTTGTACCGTTTTACGTGTTTGTATAAGCGGATAAGGGCTTTCTAGCACTAAGTTCATTTCTTCATTTGCAATTGTGTTGCTTAGTACTATTTCTCATCTGGGCGGATATTTTTGTTCATGATTCTTTTTAAAAAAATATATATATCCACAACAAGCTGTATATAGCGTGCTCTGGAGGTGGTTGGTTCGTTACTAGACTGATGGTTTATAAGAACATTTTTTCCAGAGGTCGCTGGAGTGTCGTCACGTGTGTATGTGTGTGTGTAAAAGCTTGTGTGAAAAGGAGTGTGTGTGTGCGTGTATGTAGGAGTGTGGTGTTTGTAGGGTTGCTTACAGTGGTAACATCGCTAGATCAAGTTTACGTCAGTGTATCGAGCTGAAACTAGCCCTAAACATCCCCAGTGTATCGAGCTGAAACTAGCCCTAGACATCCCCAGTGTATCAATCTGAAACTAGCTCTAGACATGCCCGGTGTATCAATCTGAAACTAGCCCTAGACATCCCCAGTGTATCAATCTGAAAGTAGCCCTAGACATATCCAGTGTATCAATCTGAAACTAGCCCTAGACATGCCCAGTGTGGCAAGCTGAAACTAGCACTAGACATGCCCAGGTTATCAAGCTGAAACTAGCCCTAGACATGCCCAGTGGATCAAGCTGAAACTAGCCCTAGACATACCCAGTGTATCAAGCTGAAACTAGCCCTAGACATACCCAGTGTATCAAGCTGAAGCTAGCCCTAGACATACCCAGTGTATCAAGCTGAAACTAGCCCTAGACATCCCCAGTGTGGCAAGCTGAAACTAGCCCTAGCCATGCCCAGTGTATCAAGCTGAAACTAGCCCTAGACATACCCAGTGTATCAAGCAGAAACTAGCCCTAGACATACCCAGTGTATCAAGCTGAAACTAGCCCTAGACATACCCAGTGTATCAAGCTGAAACTAGCCCTAGACATACCCAGTGTATCAAGCTGAAACTAGCCCTAGACATACCCAGTGTATCAAGCTGAAACTAGCCCTAGACATGCCCAGTGTATCAAGCTGAAACTAGCCCTAGACATGCCCAGTGTATCAAGGTCTACTTGGACTGTCTTCTCTATGCTCAAACCACTGAACACACTGGACTATGGGCTCCCTGGGGGTTTGTCCGCTCCCTGAAGAGCCCCAAGATATTGACCACATCACCCACCGAGTGCCGATTGGTCTATAAAATATAGGTCAAACCCTATATGCCCAATACACCTGATGGTGTGGAAAAGAGGTTTCAAAAACTGAGGCTTTGAACTTTAGTCTGCTGAATGACAGCCTAGTATTAAAACATTCGGCCAAAAACTTAAATTTAAAACAAGGTAAGAAAACACACTCACTAACAGGTAATAACAAAAGAAAATCAGATTTTATAAATTTAATTTGGGATAAGTATTACACTATATACATGTTCTATAAATAATTCAATGGATAGCAAAACAGTACAAAACTATCATGGCAGCTAAGTCAAGAATGAAGGAAAACAAGCATAACTAATTAAAATGCTCAATTGCATCACTTTAGCAGTTTATGACAGTTGTAAATAGTAAAACTAAAAATATGGTTGCTAAAAGCTACAATTACCTGATAGGCATCATGCTAAGAAACAACGAATGCTGATCTCTGAACTAATTTGTAAATACATGGTCACTAAAATAAAATGAAAAAAAAAAAAAAATGAAGGTGGTTTAGTACATTAGTTAATTCAGAAAACCACCTTGAAAAGATCATTTAGTTTGTAAGCTAATTCATAAAAAGATAAAATATTAATTCATATGAGTCGTGCAAATAACAAAAATATCTTCCAATATTATTGTCACGGTTAGGCTCAAGTTTGTTTCTTTGTGAATATACTATAGAAAATTGGGACTGCGTGAAATGTAGGATTTATTGTAGCAAAAAGAAAAACCGCTAATATATCAAACTAGAGATATTTACATTATGCCGTTCGCATTCCACTCTTTCAGCACCATAAACTTTTACAGCAATTGTGGGAAGAATGAAGCATGGATGATGACAAATCATATGTGTATTACTTTCAAAGAAACTAAAAGATGAGTGGCCACTGCTACAAATGTCTAAATCCTTCACTGACCAAATCTAACAGACATAAGACAACACACATACCCATGTGAGTAATTTAAAGGAAACAGTCTATTAGACAACATGTGATGATTAGGACTAGAAAAGTTAACAGGATCGCAGCTGCAGGAATTTGTGATTTAAAGAATGTTTAGTTGAATTCACAGATGAGGGCATTTACTGTCGAAGAAATGAACAGCTGAAATTAAATAAGTAATAAAGACATATACCTGATATTTAACAATGGTGTGCAGAAAAAAAAAGAAAACCAGAAAATTAAATTTATCAAACTAAAATGTACGGAGTAAACAAGATGTAACAAAATTGCTTATTGTCTAATAAGTCAGATCGTCAAATCCATCTGTTGCAATATGATACTTTTCTAATTCACCTGCAGAAACTAAGTACATCTACTCTAATTCACCTGCGGAAACTAAGTACATCTACTCTAATTCACCTGCAGAAACTAAGTACATCTACTCTAATTCACCTGCGGAAACTAAGTACATCTACTCTAATTCACCTGCGGAAACTAAGTACATCTACTCTAATTTACCTGCGGAAACTAAGTACATCTACTCTAATTCACATGTTCCAGTAAGCTTATATCTTTTAATTCACTCCCTGAAACAAGCAATATCTACTCCAATCATGCTTCAATCAGTTTATATCTTATAACTCACCCTCTGAAAGAATCCCCCTACTGTAATTCCTGCCCTGTAACAAGTACAATCTAGCTCTACTTTTTAAACCGAAGACAAAAACAAGGTACTCATATCTTTTGATTCATCTCTTCAACAAGTTGTCTAGCTTTTAATTATGCTCTTTCTTAAGTCATGGTTAAAAAAAGAAGCATGATTTTTCCAGTGATCATTAACAACAGTGGCCGTTAGTGATTCTGAGAAAAGACTTTCTCCATAATATAACTTGATTCTGAAAAAGAACTTTCCCATTATATAACAGCCACTTCAATATAAGATACAATCAACCTGGGCAATTCTACAAGAAAAATAATGATGACATATAAAATATCGATCACTCAAGCAACAACAACAAAAGACCAGCTTAAGCATAAAACATTGATGCATTAAAAACATTAGAGACAACGAATACAGACAAAGAACAAAAGTGACTGGCACCTGCTATGGCCTTTCAACTATCAGAACACAACCAAAAGGTGAAGTTCTGGTCTTGCTCTATACAAACCTTAATTATATGTATCTACAGTACACTCAGTGTGTATTCACTGACTCTGCACCTGGTCTTTATAAAACCCTCAACTATACGTCCTCTCAGAGAGGAGACGTCTGTGAGAAAGCCAGGACTATGTTGTTCTCAAAACCAGTAGCACAACCCTACGGCCTCGGAGGGATGATGGTTGCCTGCTAGACTGGTATATATACTAGTATGCACAGTGTGTGTCCACCATCTTCCCCCAGTGTCAACTTATTAACAGTCCACCATCTTTCCCCCTGGTCTCAAACTATCATCAGTTGTGTATCCACCATCTTTCCCCCTGGTCTCAATATCAATAGTTGTGTGTCCACTCTCTTTCCCCCTGGTCTCAACCTATCAACAGTTGTGTATTCACCCTCTTTCCCCCCTGGTCTCAACCTATCAATAGTTGTGTATCCACCCTCTTCCCCCCCTGGTCTCAACCTATCATCAGTTGTGTATCCACCATTTCCTCCTGGTCTCAACCTATCAATAGTTGTGTATCCACCATCCTCCCCCCTGGTCTCAACCTATCAACAGTTGTGTATCCACCATCCTCCAGTTGTGTATCCACCATCCTCCCCCCTGGTCTCAACCCATCAACAGTAACAACAAGAAAACACAGACACAAATTATAAAAGCTCCAGCAGAAATCAAAGCAGAAAGCAAGCAATTGCATATTTCAGTGTTCTCAGCTCAGATGTGTCTCTGGTATTGGATAAACAACCAGGTGTAGACATCTACATTTCTTAAATTCAGAGACAACATAAAATCTTCAAAAAGCATAAAAACTGATTTTCTTTAAAAGATCAATCTGAGGCCATTTGTTAGGAAATAAGCCGACTGGAGCAGATGTTCCGAGACAAAGACAATAATTCTGCCAAGATGTAAACATAATTAAATTGGGAAGGATTGAAGTGTGGGAAAAAATAAAGTTGGTCCGTGTCATTATATACACAACAGTGCTACCTCTTGTAGACTTGTGACAAGAGTTCCGTATTTGGTGCGATAATAAAGGGGCACTGACTGGCATTTACGGTGCAGGAAACAAGACAAGAACAAGAAAGAAGTGGGTGGTACAAGATATCCCTAGCTGGATTGCTCAATAAACATCAATCCTCTAGTCATTACTACTGTACTGCTGGAAAGAGACAACATCATATTTCCAGTTCTTGCCTTCCTTTTTATTCTATACATGCCAATCAGTACCTGATTATTTACGAATGTATATTTTGAATCCGTGTCAGTGATTGCCCATCATTCTCTCGCTCTCCTTGTTCCCTGATATTTGCCAGGTGAGGCAAAGAAGAACAGAAAACTAGTTTGACAAAACTGCGTTAGGTGAAAACTTTGACAAGTAGTGTAAATAACACACCTTGTCTAATATGGTTTATTTTTGTTGTAGATGTCACTAATAAAAAAAAAAAAAATATAAGACTTGGGATACCCACTGAAAGAAAGAAGAAATAGAGAAAGAACATACATTTACAACGTCATTTCACTATTTTTTCTTTGCAGATGAGATTTTCGGTATCCTGGAAAATTTAGTGCTTGTCACAGTGGACTGTGACGAAGTTCGTGCCTGTGTAGTGTGGGCCTGAAATGAGACTGTGGAACCTGTGCGGTCTCCAGAGTTGTGCCGGTCAGTCTGCAGAGCTGAAGAGGTCTCCATGCGGTCATCCGAAGCATCAGAACCCTTTCTACTTGATGGGGAACTCTCACTGCCACTGCTGGTACGTATGGAACTGTAACTTACTGAAAATACAACATCAACAAATCATCAAGAAATCATCAAAATCAGCTCATTCTGCTTCCTACAGGTTAAAGTGGCTTAGATATATAAAGTCACTTCTAACTCAAGCAGTTCTGGTTCAATTCCTTGTTTGGATGCATGGATTTAAAAAAAGAAATGATACTAAGGAAATCCCTTCTAATTCTGGGCTAGTTCATTAGATAAAAGCCTACTTATATCAATAGACAATGCTAGTGCATGCTAAACATCCATTTGCAGTTTGAAATCAAACATACAGGATGGCTGCTCAGATATAATATCAAATTAAATCTACTTAACGGAGAATATTACCAGAATGTGTGACGCTTCTTCTTCTGCCATATGATCCCAGTGGATCATAGCCTCTCAGACATGGTTGGCGCCCTTTTGGTCTCACATCAAATACTGTTAAGTGCTGCGCCTGAGTTTGTAGTTCTGGCTGCATTCTAGCAAGATGACAAACCATTTGATAATGTCTGTGCACAGGCGAATAATTCATTAATCAATGCTGTCTCCACAATGAAGGTCGGCTGCAATGGATCTCCAACACACTCTGTCTCTTGTCTTGGTTGTACACTCTCTCAGACTGCTGTTCATTCATCTCTTGATATTATCCTCCCACTTGTATCACTGTTTACCTCTTGCTTTTTTGCCTTTGATATTTCCCTTTAAAATAAAAAAAAAAATAAAAAAAAACCAGCTAATAAAGGTCTAAAAAGATAAGTAGAGAAATTACCAGGGCTTGCCAGATTTCTGGGGCCACGCAGCTGCTGTGAGACTTTGTGCTTTGTGGACGAGGTTCCCTCTGGTTCTGTTTGGGCCATGGTATGAGGGGTGTCTCCATCATGAGATATTTTTGTTTTCACTTTTGAAGTTGTATACTGGACTTTTTCTCGGATCTGCAAGACAAAAACAATAATAAAAATGAGCGCTGGTTAATTCTTTCCAGCAACAGCTCATAAATAATCAGCTTACATTTATACATTTATAGACAACAGTATTTGCTTGAGATAAGTCTTCTACACTGGGATGTAGAGAAACTATCTGATTCTAAACACCAGGATATGCTGGGGTAAAAGGAAATGAAAGAGCCGACAGACTGGCCGTGTCTGCAGTAGTTAGTGGAGGAAGAAGTATGGACAGGGCAGACATTTGAATGTGCAGCATTCCAGAGATGTTGAGACAAAGAAGTCAGAGACGATGAACAGCCTGCTGGAAATGGGCATAAAACGAGGACGAACATGTAGAAACTGGCTGCTGGGTACAGAAAGAACATCTGATAGTCAGCTCCTAACGGATAATTTGAGCATGGGGACAATGAGATGACTGCTGCCTTGGAGGATGGAGCGTGCGTGTGTGCATGTATGTATGTGTGTGCAGCTGACAGGCATTGGATGTGTGAATGAAGGTAACAGCTGAAAGCTATTGTGTTTGATTTTTGGCATCTCGTTTCTTTCTCTCTGCCAAATCTTCCTAGCCAAATAATAAAAAGCTGCTTAGATATCTCAACTCTGTCCATCAGTCCATCTATCTACGTGTTCTGCCTATCTACTCTTTAATCTCAAGTGTGTGTGTGTATCTGTGTGTGTGTTTGGGTCTGTGTGCGTATGTCTGTTTGTGTGTGTGTCTGCATTTGTTTCTTTGAGTGTGACTGTGTGTGCATGTGTGTATCTGTATGTATGTATGTGTGTGGAATGTGTGTGTTTGTGTGGGTAGATAGGTATGTAGGTGAGTGAATGGGGGTGGTTTATGTGTCAGTGTGAAGGTATGTAGGTGTGAAAATATGCGCGTTTAAGTCAGTGGGTGGGTGTGTGTGTGTGCATGCGCACATGCTAGTCTGTCCATGCATTTTACCACCCAAGCTTTTGTGTGTCTTTTTTCTCTTGATATTTATAATATGCATATTATCATATGAATATAACATGCTTATTGATAAAATACATCTGCAGTGTGAAAGACAGGTGTTTGCAAGGGCCGAATGTAAGATGGGCCTGCATGCCCAATTTGTGACCCTTTGAAAATAAAGTTCGCTCATCTGTTCTCAAGGACAAGAGAATAAAATGTGTGCTATACTAGACAACATAACACATCTACAAGACCACTAACAAAACACCCACCTCTGTACTGGGTCCCCCAACTACACTAGACACCATGTCACATACATAACACCCCTAACAAAACACCCACCTCCTGTACTGGGTCCCCCAACTAGACACCATGTCACATACATAACATCCCTAACAAAACACCCACCTCTGTACTGGGTCCCCCAACTAGACACCATGGCACATACATAACACCCCTAACAAAACACCCACCTCTGTACTGGGTCCCCCAACTAGACACCATGGCACACACATAACATCCCTAACAAAACACCCACCTCTGTACTGGGTCCCCCAACTAGACACCATGGCACACACATAACATCCCTAACAAAACACCCACCTTTATGTCGGGTCCACCAACTACATTAGACACCATGAAACATACATAACACCCGTAACAAAACACCCACCTTTATGTTGGGCACACCGGTTAAAGAAGCGGATCTCCCTGAATGTGATGATCCACTAGAATGTGAACTTCCACCTGGAGACTTGTTGGCAAATCCGGACATGGACTGACTCACACCCTCTGCTAGGACAAAGTTCTCTCTCAGTTCCATATTTGTACGTCCCTTTGCTGCTTACGTACCGAAAAAACAAACCAAAAATACTTTACTATGAATCTGTACGGCCCTTAGATGTTTACAACCAAAACATCATTAATCCAAAATTATTTGACCACATATTTTATTAGGGTCTGTAAATATGTCAGTCGCGAGGACGCCGCGAGGCATTCCAGGAGTAGAGAAAAGCAGAAGAAGAGAGGTAAATGTTTGAAGTTAAACTCAAATTGCAACAATTTTGGTCTATATTCTTCTTTTGTCACTGTGTTGAGAAAAATAAACCACAGTGGACTTACATCTGTTGTCACAAATACAGACTTTCCTTTCTGACCTGACCAGAGAAAACAATTATATTCTAAAACTTTGAATATGAAAATGTAAACAAAAAAGTGGTTTACCAACAGCTTGGCCAATCTATGGTAGCAACAGAAAAAAAATATTACTGATGTGACACAAATATTGTTACTGGTATGTGACAAACAGTGTTACTGGTAAGTGACAAACAGTGTTCCTGGTAAGTGACAAACAATGTTCCTGGTAAGTGACAAACAGTGTTCCTGGTAAGTGACAAACAGTGTTCCTGGTAAGTGACAAACAGTGTTCCTGGTAAGTGACAAACAGTGTTCCTGGTAAGTGACAAACAGTGTTCCTGGTAAGTGACAAACAGTGTTCCTGGTAAGTGACAAACAGTGTTCCTGGTAAGTGACAAACAGTGTTCCTGGTAAGTGACAACTTGAACAGAAGCTGATTTGAAGAAACCATGACCCTCATTACTTCACATAATCATCGTCATACAATGCACGCCATCTAGAATTGACATGTCATGTCTACCCATAGCATTCTTTCTCGTATAATTTCAGACACAGACGAACTTCCATTCCAGAATGTCAAACTGTCCAGCATAGTCTCCCAATCTCCCCCTGTTTGTAGCTTTACCACCGTCACGATGTATTCCAGTCTTTTCCTTCTCGTGACGTGACCAAAGAAATTTAGATTGTCTCCCCCTGATGGGAGCAATCAGTTCCCAAGTTCTTTCAACTCCCCCTGACCTCCCCTATCTTAACTGTGCTTCACACCTGTACAAATTTTCCAAATATGGGGATAATTTAATTTAGTTTAGTTAAAAACATCAGATTTATTTAAACTGTTCCAGTTTGGTCCTAATTTAGTTTAACTATTTATTTAAAAAAAAAACCATAAGATTTGTACACATATTTTTAGTCTGGTGCTAATTTAGTTTATTTAGTTAAAAACCATCAGAGTTGTACAAACTGTTTAGAATTAGATGATAATTTAATTTTAGTTAATTAAAAAACATCAGATTTGTTAAAACTTTTCAAGTTTAGTGCCAATTGAGTTTTAAAATGCACTTTTACAAGAATGTGGCAATGATGGAAAATCTGGTTCGGGGGTTACTGGGGAAACTCGGTGAAGAGTAGATTCTTAAAGATGAACTCATTTAAGTTTATTTGAAACTGACAATGCATTAAATTAAATTTAAAAATGGAAAGTTTAAAGATATAGAATAAACAAAGAAATATTTAAACAAGTAAAAAGTTTAAAGGTTAATAGCAAATGTTTAAAACAGATTAGTAGACAGACACATTTTTACAATACTCAAAAATAATGTTAATTTGACAAGTGACAATGATATAAATAGGTGAAAGATTATGACATAAATAGGCCATACACATGGGGATATACATATGTTACACACAACGACACAGTTAAGTCATACAATGACATAAACAACTGACATATGATGACATCAGTTAGTCACATACAGTGATATAAAAACCCATACGGGTGAGCTAATATCAAACTCACAATGTTAAAAATAATAACTGCCAACAAAATGATGTAAATGTGAACATATATGAACAATGATACTGCTGTTTTCTTTGTTACTGTTCAGAGAATGAGCTGCCACCCTTTGGTTCAAAGCCAAACCCTGGCAAGAATGGGTTGACATCATCCAGATGTCCTGTTTCATGACGCTACCTTGGCTGTACACAACGGGATGTGCCAGAGTAAAGGGAAATGAAAGAGTTGACGACTGGTCATGTCCGCATTGACTGGTGGAGGAAGAAGTATGGACAGGGCAGACATACTCAATGCGGGGCTTTCTACAGACTTTGAGATGATGGAGTCAGAGGCTATGACAGACATACTGATTGTGGGGCTTTCTTGAGACTTTGAGATGATGGAGTCAGAGACTATGACAGACATACTGATTGTGGGGCTTTCTAGAGACTGTGAGATGATGGAGTCAGAGACTATTACTGATTGTGGGGCTTTCTAGAGACTTTGAGATGATGGAGTCAGAGACTATGACAGACATACTGATTGTGGGCTTTCTAGAGACTTTGAGATGATGGAGTCAGAGACTATGACAGACACACTGATTGTGGGGCTTTCTAGAGACTTTGAGATGATGGAGTCAGAGACTATGACAGACACACTGATTGTGGGGCTTTCTAGAGACTTTGAGATGATGGAGTCAGAGACTATGACAGACACACTGATTGTGGGGCTTTCTAGAGACTTTGAGATGATGGAGTCAGAGGCTATGACAGACATACTGATTGTGGGGCTTTCTACAGACTTTGAAATGATGGAGTCAGAGACTATGACAGACATACTGATTGTGGGGCTTTCTACAGACTTTGAGATGATGTGGAGTCAGAGGCTATGACAGACATACTCAATGCGGGGCTTTCTACAGACTTTGAGATGATGGATTCAGAGACTATGACAGACATACTCAATGTGGGGCTTTCTACAGACTTTGAGATGATGTGGAGTCAGAGACTATGACAGACTTTGATACTCAATGTGGGGGGGCTTTCTACAGACTTTGAGATGATGGATTCAGAGACTATGACAGACATACTCAATGTGGGGCTTTCTACAGACTTTGAGATGATGGAGTCAGAGACTATGACAGACATACTCATTGTGGGGCTTTCTACAGACTTTGAGATGATGGATTCAGAGACTATGACAGACATACTCAATGTGGGGCTTTCTACAGACTTTGAGATGATGTGGAGTCAGAGACTATGACAGACATACTCAATGTGGGGCTTTCTACAGACTTTGAGATGATGGATTCAGAGACTATGACAGACATACTCAATGTGGGGCTTTCTTGAGACTTTGAGATGATGGAGTCAGAGACTATGACAGACATACTGATTGTGGGGCTTTCTTGAGACTTTGAGATGATGGAGTCAGAGGCTATGACAGACATACTCAATGTGGGGCTTTCTACAGACTTTGAGATGATGGAGTCAGAGACTATGACAGACATACTGATTGTGGGGCTTTCTAGAGACTTTGAGATGATGGATTCAGAGGCTATGACAGACATACTCAATTGAGATAATGGGGCTCAGAGGCTATCAGACAGACTTTGAGGGGCTTTCTATGATGGATCAGAGACTATGACAGACATACTGATTGTGGGGCTTTCTAGAGACTTTGATGATGGAGTCAGACAGACATACTGATTGTGGGGCTTTCTAGAGACTTTGAGATGATGGATTCAGAGACTATGACAGACATACTGATTGTGGGGCTTTCTACAGACTTTGAGATGATGGAGTCAGAGACTATGACAGACATACTGATTGTGGGGCTTTCTAGAGACTGTGAGATGATGGAGTCAGAGACTATGACAGACATACTGGGTGGGGCTTTCTAGAGACTTTGAGATGATGGAGTCAGAGACTATGACAGACATACTGATTGTGGGGCTTTCTAGAGACTTTGAGATGATGGAGTCAGAGGCTATGACAGACATACTCAATGTGGGGCTTTCTAGAGACTTTGAGATGATGGAGTCAACGGCCATGAACCTCCTGTTGGAAATGTGTATTTAATAAGAACAGGCCTGTAGAAACTGGCTGTGAGGAAGAGAAAGAAGCCATGCCAGTTAACTTCATCGGGTACCTTGAGCACGGAGACACTGGGGTGGCTGCTGCATAGGAGGACAGTGTGCAAATAGGTTGGACTGTTGTGCTGTATAACAATGTGAATGTATCACAAGTAACAGCTGTCAGTGCCATGTAGTGATATGTGATACAAATTATGTAAAATAGCAGGCACATTAATGCAAAGCAAAGTGACGTAATGATCCAGACAATAATGACCAACAATGATGTTAACTCATTCGGTACCAAGGGTTGATTTATAATGAATTTATCTGTCCTCTGGAACCGAAATAGTTAACAGTAGCACTTTACAACAAGGATATAAATAACAGTAAGACATAAATATAACAGCTATCCCCTGTGATATAATTGTATGTATACAAAAATATACACAATCATTTCTTCTTAGTATTCAGCAGTTGTAAACTCCAGTGAAAAGTTCTGGCTGTTTGTCCACATCTGGACTTTGGTCTTGTTCCAAAACTTGAGTTTTGCATACACATCCATTTCACAGATCTAGCTTAATGTATGCAGACTGTTGGTTCCACAGATGTACTTTGACTTCGAAGGAAACATCCCTAATTTCTCCTTCCCACCACCAGGAACCCACATGAGAAACAATATACTATAACACATATCCAAAATAATACAAATAACAATTATCTACAACAATATAAACAACAATTATTACCAGCAGTTTACCTAACTACTACTAGTCCAATATGGCAGATCCCCGTGTGGGTTCCAGGGCCCGTTGTGGGGCAAAACAAGAACAGACCCATTGCCTACCAAAAAGCATGTCGTAAGAGCCGACTAATTTGGAGCTTCATTCGAAGTCCAAATGCATCTGCCTGAGAGGCAAGGATCCAGCAGTCTGCATATAAAATGAGTCAGATCTGTAAAATGGATGCAAACGCAACACTCAGGTTCTGGAACAGGACTGCAGTCCAGAAGTGGATGAACAACCAGAACTTTCCTCCAGAGTTTACAGCTGGTGAACGCAAAGAATAAGAATATGGCAGATAGGCAGCTTGCCGCTGACCCATTGACAAATTATCTGTTTCTAGCTGGTCTTTGCTGATTTATTATTTCTGGACTGGGAGTCCAAAGGCTTTGCCACCCAGCCACTGAGCTGGCATAAGGCTACTGGTGTTGGCACATGTGATGGTTGCCTTATGCATCTACTGTGCTGTTATGAGCTTACAGATTTTGCTGGGACCGACAGGTGTTTCACTAGTTTTCAAATGGGACAGGAAGGGTATATGTGTGATTTCTGCTAGCACCAGAATAGAGCAGCTTTAGTGTAACCTGTCTGTAGTGATACTGGAAGCTTGACTAACTTGCAGTTTTCCATGATGATATACACACAGTTATACTCAGTGATGTAAATAATATGATAAAAAATGATATTAACAACATTCGTTAACTGTAAGAATACAAACAACAGGTAGCCACAGTGATTTTAAATAACATAAGTTAAATACAGAAAGATAAAATATTAAATAACAATTATCCATAAAGATATACATACCACCATTTATTTACACTGTTGTAATACTGAACAGGTAATTATCTACAATGATATAAATAACAACAATCGTCTACAGTGATTTAAATTTCAACAAAGATAAAAGAATGTGAAACTGGAATGAAATTTACCACAAAACATCAGGCAAACTGAAATTAAATTTCAATAAAAATGGAAGTCAGTTAAAACAGAATATTTTCACAAAATAGAAATATATCAAGATGAAAATACCAACAAACCAACCACCTGGGGTAGGAAAAAACATTAGATGTGACCTGAGTGAATATGATGCTCCTTCTCATTACCCATTTATGACCTGTAATGTCGTTTTTGAAGTGCAATCCATTCAATATCACGGATGAGATCCAGTCCGGAAGCTGTGGTCTCTCTTATTAATGTTTCGTTTCTGTAGCAAATAATGTTTTACACTCTAGGGGAGCTGGCCCCATGCTTAACTCTCCTCCTTTCTCAACCGTGCTTGAAACCGGAATAAAACTGACATTATATTCTTGAAGTTGTCTTCAGAAATCACACACCAAAGTACCGAATTAGTCAAGCTAACTTCATATTACTATCTAGCAAAACTACACACTTCAGTCTTCAGTCAGTCATCGAAAACCACACTGCACAGACTTGTTAGATATCTTTTTTGTCCATCACAAGTAATGATGACCAGTCCTGCAACAGGCTATCTCTGGCAGTCTGGACAGGGGATTCTGACCACATAACTTAATGGTCTTTGCTGAACTGTCAATATTTAAAATAAACGCTGCTGATGTTCTGGCTGCCTCACATGCTGCTAATCCTCGATGAAGAGAAAAGCACCACAGACATAAAGACAGACAAAAAGAAAGAGAGACAAAAAAGACATAAAAGTAAATATAATACTCATTTTCCATTGATCATGAACAGCCTCAGATTAGTCTGAACATGTCATCAAAGACTATATTATGAAAACAAACATTGGGCTCTGGTAGAAACAAAACTATGCAAGAGAAAAGTTGTGAATTCAGAGCAACATGAAGGGTCACTGTTGGGGAAACGTTCAAACTGCTTCTGCTACTGCAAAATAATAATACCACCATGCAAAAACCACCCAAGCAAAACAAAAACTCCACAAACCAAAATATACAAGCCACAATGTGAACACATGTGGGAAATAAAAGGGTTAAAAAAAATGTAAATCACAATACAACATTAAAAAAAAACAAAATACTGTTCAAACAACTGAAAAATTAAAGGTGCAAAACAAGATCTAGCCAAAAAACCAAACCAACACACATAAAAAATATTTGTGGCTGCAGTTCAAAACACACAGATGCAATATAAAAAATTCTAAAACGTACATTCTTCTGTACAATGTGGAATGGAGCGTCGTTTTAGACGAAACTGCTTCTGACGCCACAGTCCAACTTGAGGAAGAAAATGATAAAGAAATTTACAATAAAGTATAAGAATAACATGTGAATGCTGCGTTTACACTTTAAAACAATCGGACAAAGCACACTGTAAGTACATTGGCGTGAAAACTGATTCAGGAGACTGTGAGCATGTGACAGTAACATGTATTGTGTTTTGACACGATAACATTGTCAGCTCTGTTAGATACGGATATACTCAAACCTTGTTCACTTAAAAGCTCTGCTCAATTACAAGTTCAGCCACTAAACGGAATAATCCTTGTAATCAAATATAAATAAAAAATAATGTAAAGATTATTAATTCAGCATTTAAACTTTACAATATACGTTTCAACTCCGCTTTACCATGTGAACTCCTGTAGACTTGAACTCTAAGCTCTGTATACTTCAACTCCACTGCACTAACCTCTTGAGTGACTCCATGTCATTAACCTAAGCGCTGTATACTTTAACTCCACTGAACTAACCTCTTGAGTACTCTGACTCCATGTCACTAACCTAAGCTCTGTATACTTCAACTCCACTGCACTAACCTCTTGAGTACTCTGACTCCATGTCACTAACCTAAGCTCTGTATACTTTAACTACACTGCACTAACCTCTTGAGTACTCTGACTCCATGTCATTAACCTAAGCTCTGTATACTTTAACTCCACTGCACTAACCTCTTGAGTACTCTGACTCCATGTCACTAACCTAAGCTCTGTATACTTCAACTCCACTGCACTAACCTCTTGAGTACTCTGACTCCATGTCACTAACCTAAGCTCTGTATACTTTAACTCCACTGCACTAACCTCTTGAGTACTCTGACTCCATGTCACTAACCTAAGCTCTGTATACTTTAACTCCACTGCACTAACCTCTTGAGTACTCTGACTCCATGTCACTAACCTAAGCTCATGTACACTTTAACTCCACTGCACTAACCTCTTGAGTACTCTGACTCCATGTCACTAACCTAAGCTCTGTATACTTTAACTCCACTGCACTAACCTCTTGAGTACTCTGACTCCATGTCATTAACCTAAGCTCATGTACACTTTAACTCCAACTAACACTCCACACTAACCTAAGCTCTGAGTACTTTAACTCCACTGCACTCCATGTCCACTAACCTAAGCTCTGTATACTTTAACTCCACTGCACTAACCTCTTGAGTACTCTGACTCCATGTCACTAACCTAAGCTCTGTATACTTTAACTCCACTGCACTAACCTCTTGAGTGACTCCATGTCACTAACCTAAGCTCTGTATACTTTAACTCCACTGCACTAACCTCTTGAGTACTCTGACTCCATGTCACTAACCTAAGCTCTGTATACTTTAACTCCACTGCACTAACCTCTTGAGTACTCTGACTCCATGTCACTAACCTAAGCTCTGTATACTTTAACTACACTGCACTAACCTCTTGAGTACTCTGACTCCATGTCACTAACCTAAGCTCTGTATACTTTAACTCCACTGCACTAACCTCTTGAGTACTCTGACTCCATGTCACTAACCTAAGCTCTGTATACTTTAACTCCACTGCACTAACCTCTTGAGTACTCTGACTCCATGTCACTAACCTAAGCTCTGTATACTTTTAACTCCACTGCACTAACCTCTTGAGTACTCTGACTCCATGTCACTAACCTAAGCTCTGTATACTTTAACTACACTGCACTAACCTCTTGAGTACTCTGACTCCATGTCACTAACCTAAGCTCTGTATACTTTAACTCCACTGCACTAACCTCTTGAGTACTCTGACTCCATGTCACTAACCTAAGCTCTGTATACTTTAACTCCACTGCACTAACCTCTTGAGTACTCTGACTCCATGTCACTAACCTAAGCTCTGTATACTTTAACTCCACTGCACTAACCTCTTGAGTACTCTGACTCCATGTCACTAACCTAAGCTCTGTATACTTTAACTCCTACTGCACTAACCTCTTGAGTACTCTGACTCCATGTCACTAACCTAAGCTCTGTATACTTTAACTCCACTGAGTACACTAACTAACCTCTTGAGTTTAACTCACTGCACTCCATGTCACTAACCTAAGCTCTGTATACTTTAACTCCACTGCACTAACCTCTTGAGTACTCTGACTCCATGTCACTAACCTAAGCTCTGTATACTTTAACTCCACTGCACTAACCTCTTGAGTACTCTGACTCCATGTCACTAACCTAAGCTCTGTATACTTTAACTCCACTGCACTAACCTCTCTTGAGTACTCTGACTCCATGTCACTAACCTAAGCTCTGTATACTTTAACTACACTGCACTAACCTCTTGAGTACTCTGACTCCATGTCACTAACCTAAGCTCTGTATACTTTAACTACACTGCACTAACCTCTTGAGTACTCTGACTCCATGTCACTAACCTAAGCTCTGTATACTTTAACTACACTGCACTAACCTCTTGAGTACTCCATGACTCCCTAAGCTCTGTCACTACACCTGCACTAACTCTTGAGTACTCTGACTCCATTAACTAACCTAAGCTGCTGTAACTTCTCCACTGCACTAACCTCTTGAGTACTCTGACTCCATGTCACTAACCTAAGCTCTGTATACTTTAACTCCACTGCACTAACCACTCTGACTCCATGTCACTAACCTAAGCTCTGTATACTTTAACTCCACTGCACTAACCTCTTGAGTACTCTGACTCCATGTCACTAACCTAAGCTCCTGTACACTTTAACTCCACTGCACTAACCTCTTGAGTACTCTGACTCCATGTCACTAACCTAAGCTCCTGTACACTTTAACTCCACTGCACTAACCTCTTGAGTACTCTGACTCCATGTCACTAACCTAAGCTCCTGTACACTTTAACTCCACCATCCTAGCTGAACTCATGTGTACTTAAACTGCAAAACCATTGTTACTTTCTCCTTGCATGAGATGAGTAGTCAATGATGTACAACAGTGCTAAACAATTCAAAATACAACTGAAATCAAAATTTAAAGAATTAATTCTTATGCGCTGATGCCAGCTTCACCTTCTTTCTTCTTCAGCCTTTCATTTTGTGAATACTAAAACAAAATGAGTCATGAATCCACAGGAATTTCTGGAAAAAAAAACCCTTTAAAAACAACAATATTACATAGTTCACTGATACATTTAAAAAAAAATATATTATCTACATTTAATTTTTTTTTCTGAAACATCTAGACATATAAAGGAGAAATCAAGAAACACAAAAGTCTAAAAAAAAAAAATCCAATCTGTATCAGGTGGCTCATGTCATGACCCTTGACCTCTACCACTGAGGCTCAGGAAAAATTTGACATCAACTTGTCTTTCAAAAAGCCACTAGGGTGATAAGGAAGCCCCTTAAATGCTATTTTTAGTTTCTATATTCATATCCTGACCTATCAAACATCTTGCAGGTCCATATAGGATGAAAGGTACTGAACTAAACTTTTATAGGACGAAAGGTACTGAACTAAACTTTTCAAGAACAGGTTACTGCAGGCACGCTATATATTGGCCTTTACAGGACAGTGTCACAACCAGAAGTGACTAGATTTAGTCTTCGCAGAGTTAAAGGAGCTTAAAGGAGACCCACACCAAATATCACCAAGTTTTCTGTCGACTTGATCATGATTGGTTGGATTTTGCAGCAAAAGTATTTCATGACTTGAGGTCGCCAGTGTCAGACCAACCGTCCTTTGTGACCTCTTATGACATGCATGGTAGGTAACTTTGTTAATATTCTTTAATTCCTTCTGCCACCAATTCTAACCATGAAATGAATGCCAGTAATATTACGTAACTGATGTTGTCAGAAAAAAAAAGAGCTGCAAAAACAATATACATGAGTTCATTAACATACACTCAGATTCCTTTATGTGTGAGAAGAATAAGACCAAATAAAGACCGTTAACGTTAACACAACCATCATTAAAGTCAAACATAGACTACAAACAATATCCAACAGCAGGATGCTATATTCCAAACAACATGCACCGATGAATGAGTTAGCAAAATGAGCACACACAAAAATAAAATGATAGTGCTGCAACAAATGTTTTCCAAAAATGCTAAATCATTAGTCTAATGAGGATTACTAACATAATCTACATAATAATACATTCAGTACCCAACACTATAGAAAATAGTTCTGTTTATCCTGGTTTAAGAAGCTTATAAAAAGTTGTTCAGTTTATTCTGACTCTGTCAAGCAAATGTTCAGTTTATTCTGTCTCTGTCAAGCAAATGTTCAGCTTATTCTGTCTCTGTCAAGCAAATGTTCAGCTTTTTCTGACTCTGTCAAGCAAATGTTCAGTTTATTCTGACTCTGTCAAGCAAATGTTCAGTTTATTCTGACTCTGTCAAGCAAATGTTCAATTTATTCTGACTCTGTCAAGCAAATGTTCAGTTTATTCTGTCTTTGTCAAGCAAATGTTCAGTGTATTCTGTCTCTGTCAAGCAAATGTTCAGTTTATTCTGTCTCTGTCAAGCAAATGTTCAGTTTATTCTGACTCAGTCAAGCAAATGTTCAGTTTATTCTGTCTCTGTCAAGCAAATGTTCAGTTTATTCTGACTCAGTCAAGCAAATGTTCAGTTTATTCTGACTTCATAAAGCCTTAAAAAAAATGTTGAGTTTATTCATCCCTCTATATAGTTTTGTTAAAAGACATTCAATTCATTCTTTAATCTTCTGTGTAGCCCTTTAAAAAATAAGTTGTTCAATCTATTTATGTTTCTGTGTAATCTTTTAGAAGAGGCTAAATTCATCCTACCTCTGTTTAGTTTTTTTTAAAATGAAGTTCCATTTATCCTACCTCTGTGTAGCTTTTAAAAAAACTTCCTATTTATGCTTCAGTTTATTCTCTCTATGTCTAGTCGATTACAAGATCTGATAATGTGCCCACATGGACTCCTTATATGTTGGTCCTAGTCTGAGAAGACTAGGCATCACATGTACTACCCAAAGTCAACAAATAATAAGAAAACAATGGTCCTCAAATGGAGTTG